GTAGTCAGCTGGCTCTAAAGCAGGAAGGCAGAGGGGAAAGGTCTAGCAGAGGAAAGACGCTCACCCTTGTGGCGGTCAGAAAGCAGAGTGAAGGCAGGAGCCAAGGAGGAGATCACACCCTTGTAGGCCACACCTCAGTAGTCTGCCTCTTCGGACGAGGCCCCATTTCCTAACGATACACTTAGCTGTTGCTACAAACATGCTTATTTAATTGAGTCACCCACCAGATGAAGAGACAAGCAAGTTTATTGGCCAGTGGTGGGTACCCAGTACATGACCAAACACCAACCCCAAAGGACAGGAGGGAGCATAGTTTATACAGTTCTAGTTCTGGGTCTAGTTCCAGGTCTAGGGGGTGATTAGGTTTATTCTGTTATAATTTAATGCAGCTACAGAAATACTCCCACAAAGTGTCGGCTTAGCTTGTGACAACGCAACAAAGGCATTTGACATTTTATGTAGGGGACAAGCGGTCTTATGACAAAGCATGGAGTGGTACTGGGTTAGTAACTGTGAAAACATTTACAAGAAACAAACTTAAGGAAACAGAGACTTAAGCCTTAAAATGGCACTAGAGTACAAGACATCACAGATTTGGTTCTCTTGCCCATATCACAGCTATAAACTCTTTGGCGGACCAACCTACCAATGAGTACAGTGCCCCTTGATTGAATCACCTCCAAAATCCCCAGCTCTGCATGCATAGCTTTGGGGTAATATCAAGAAATCAACCATAATGACTTGTGCCTCCCAGAACAGACGTGGCCTCTTCTCCCTTTGATACCTCCTATGCCCATTGCATAAATTTATCATGATGACTATAATTGCAGCCAGGACCTCAACTCTTGGAAATACTGAGTTTTCATATGAATGTAGCAGATTGCAGAAATAGTCACAAATGTCCTCTAATCCTGATTCACATCATTTTGTAAGGTGATTTTGCTGCTTGACTTATCAAAATATTCTTCCAATTCTTAAATCAAATTGTGAACCTTTAGTTGGCTTACCCAAATACAACACAGAAAACATGACACAAGTAAGGCTTAAAAAGCATTCATCCCTAGATACATTAGGGACCAGCTCACTTCCTGAAGAAGCATAATCTTGCTAAAGAAAAGGAGGCCACATGGAAGAGATCTCTCAATACTGTACAATTGCCATAGGTGTGCAAGAAACCATCCTAAACCAGAAGGTCTGATTTGGTGAACATCAGAACTGCCCAAGCCACCTTTAAAGCAATTGAGAAAAATAATAACTCCATTGTTTTAAGCCACAAAGTTCTCCAGTGATTTTTTTACATGACAAAAACTAACAGAGAGTGAATAAGAAACCACGTGGAAATTTCATTCATTTTGTCAAATTGCCCTTAAAACTCAGGAAGTGAGAAGCCAGAAACAGCAAGAGTTGTGTCCCTCAAGGTTACATTATTAGAGATCAGATTCTCCAATGCCGTTTACCCTATCCTTCAAAAAAAATGAATATCTTTTGAACTACATCTTGCAAAAGAAGTGAGGCAGGTTCCAAATAAATCCAAAGAGTCTGAGGAAAGCTAGAAAGGGTCAGCGCTGAAAATATAATTACAAGTGACACATTGAGCCAGAGATTTAATAAGGGAATAGCATTCAGGACTGAGGGTTCATGAGGACAAAACGCCCAGGGTTGGGCTAGACATCAGAAGAAGATGACTCAAAGAACCAATCAAATTTAAGAAATGGGAACCTAAATTCCATTCAGTTCCATTGCCAGAAATGGAATCAGGTTCAGTGGAAATTAAATTTCTTCTTTAATACTAAGAAACATTGTTAATTCCCTACCACTTTGTTTGTAACTCCGTACTGTCTGTACTGTTCCTTTGCTATTTTGTAAAATGTTGTCTGTCTGTTAATATTTTCTTCCTTTTATTTTTAAAATAAAAAAAAAACAATGCCCAATTTATTTCAAATACTCATAGATATGCTATAATTTTTACCTCATGGATAATTTTTACAAACTTGTTTCATAATCAGTAATCATCAGAATCTTGGGATTCCAAGATGTTTCTGAATTTAAAAAAAAAAAGTATTTTGGAGATTGTCATTAGATTAACTCAAACTTGGTTAAAAAAGAATAAATACCAAGAGTGCTAATCTTCAGAATGGCTTGTCTGCTAGAAAGGAAAGAATATTTTCCCTCAATTCTTCAGCAGATCTTCACTCTGAAATGCAGCTAACCTTACATGAACCACAGCTCCCAACGATATTCTCAGACAACTATACTTTTCCTTCAGAAAGTGAACGCAAAATTTGTCCTAAAATACTTCTGTTTGTTTATGCCTAAGGAGATCAGTGATCTTTTTTGAGCAAAAACACGTTAGAATTTCACATGAGTTTAGAAATGCTTTTGTCTTCGGAAAAAGATATGTTGGTCTTTGTGTTGGAAAAGGTAAAAGTGAAATGCTGTGGAATATTTGGTCTAATGAAAATTAACTACCTGAGTATGAACGCTTCTTAACTACTTGATGTATCGCAAATACTTAAAACCTTTAGGAGGAGGTACACTGCAAACAATTCATAAATGCACATGATGAACAGAGGCAAACAATAGTGTTATCATTCTTCTCTCTTAAAAATAATTAACTCAAACTGGATGTGGAGGTGTACACCTGTAACTCTAGCCCTCTTGGAAGTCGAGGCAGGAAGACTGCAACCTTGAACACAACCTGGGCAACTTAACAACTTAGCAAGACCCTATCTCTGAATAAAAACAAGAAAGGGTTGAGGATATAGCTCTGTGTGAACATCCTAGGTTCAATTCCCTATTACAAAAACAATTAACTCAGCACATCTAAGATTACTAATCAAATTCCAAGCATTTTTAAGCATCTTAGGTTTAGATATTTGTCCAGCAAATATTTTGTGAGTAGTTATTATGTTGCAGGTGCTGGTTCCAGATGCTGGAATAGTACAGTAAACAAGAACATGACCACCTGTCATCATCGACTCCAGTGGAGAAACCCAAAAACAAGCAAGATAATAAATCAGTGAGAAAAGTGAGCTTCTACGGTGTATGTTAAAAATGAAATAATCCAACACCAGGATAGAGGAAACTATGTTAGCGGACTTTAAGTGATTTCTAGAAGACATGATAGAAAAGCTGAGAGTCAAGATAAACAGGAAAAATAAACAAGAAAAAACAATTAGTGATGAAGTGTGTGCAGGCTAACAAGGCAGAAGGCAAGCACTGATTATGTTTGAAGAAATAAAGGAACAATGGATCACAGAAAAAATGCAAAAGAAAAACAGAGATAGATGTGCAGGTATCTTATGATTGAACAGTCATCCAGCCCACAATACTCTTTGTCTACCAACTTCCCTGGTTGGGGAGGCCATGCTCACATGGCACAATCACTGGAAATGTGCAAAGAGGCACTGCAGCGGCCACAGGGGTGCGGTCACCATCTACTGCTTAACATAACACTTCTGAATTATCCTTGCCTTCTCTGTTGCACCACTTTTAGAAGCCTAGGTACTTGCACGTTTCTTTCACTTAAGAGTGTTTTAATGAACCAGAGGACTGAAGAAAAGTTTCATGAAATGCTTTTCTTTCCAGTATCCAAAATATATAGTACAGTTTCGCATTTAATTGACCCAAGCTTCAGCAACACGGAACCTTCAACTTACCCAAAATTAATATCCTACAACTAACAATTTACTTGATTTCCTCACTGAATATTAGCATCAGGAATTAGTTCTCTTCTCTGCCACTATTCACAAAGTCGTAAATGTTTTTATTTTGTTAACTGGTTTATGTTTCACTGCAATGGAGTTACCTGACAGATGCTAGCAAGGAGAGAACCACAGGACTTGACTGAGAGAAAATGGGGAGAAGATCGAGCTCCTCACCAAGGAGCAGGTTTTCCACACCACTGACCTCAAAGCTTAAAAGATGCTTAGTCATGTGCACAAAGTGGAAATCAAGAATGGCCTGCACCTGTAAGACCTGTTAGATCCTGTGGATGGTTAGGACTGCAAAGGGAATGGACTGACGGATTCCCAGAGAGAACCACAGTGCTAGGACTGGTGGTGGGGAGCTGTGGGCACTTTGTATGTTAGGCTTGGACAGCGCAGGTAACCACAAGAGGACGTGGGGCTTTGGTGCTGGGGTGTAATGGGAATTCCTGCGCTTCAGGTAGAGTTGATAGATACATAAATTAGAGCAGAGTTGAGAAAGTGTCTGCTCTTTGCACAAACTTTAACTCTTCAATGAATCTACAGACCGATATGTTAGCTGCATCCTTAACTCTTTTTTGCAGTGCTAGAAATGAAAGCCAAGGATGCTAGGCAAGTGCTCTACCCCTGAGCTACATCCTCAACACTCCCTAATATTCTCTGCAAAGAAGGTTATAGCTCTCACTCCTGGCTGAGACTAATGTCCTCAAAATTTCTTTCTGCTACCTCCCATACAACCCTATCTAGTACCAAGTATTCAACATTTCATTTATCAGCATACACCAGTTTCTGAGTCTAAGCAAACAGTCATTTAAAATGTCTTTATTCTATTCATCAGTAACACACTAAAGACACAGTAAGTATCAATGCCCATATGTGCAAGCTAATTTGGTTTGCACTCAAGGTCACTGAAGTCCCTAACTGTAACATGTGCACTGACTTTGGGAGGTTTTATATGACTGAACTGTTGACATACAGTTTCTTTGGATCTATGGAATTTTTTACAGTTATTGACTAGTTAGATTTAAATGTAAAATACTGGGTGAACTCTTTTATTTTTCTCCAATTCCAAATTCTTGTGGCAGTGGTAGGAGGAGAGAAATACACATATTCAAATACCAGACAAGTGGTCCATCAAAAGTAAAAATTACAGTTCTTACAACGGTTCATATATGAGTTTTGTGTAAAGTTTGAATCTCAGAAAGGTGAAGAGTTACTTTGCCTAAAACAAGTAAAAAGGAGAAAATAAATAGTCAACATCATAAGCCTGCAATAGTATACCTTACAACTTACAGAGAGATCAAATTTTCAAGTCCTTCAAAAGCGGTCCTGGAAATCTTCCTGATTTGATTGTTGTTCAGCAGACTAAAACAAACAAATAAATAATTCCAGAATAAGAAACATATTCTGCAAACATTATAAGAATCCTGCTAAATATAATGCTTTAGACAATTAAAAAATATTCACAGACATGCTCACTAAATTTAGGAATTTATAATTTTCTATTTTAAAAGGCTTTATTAAAACATCAGTTTGTCATAAAAGACTATTCAGATATAATTTATATTTATTAAATTACCCCCAAAATATCCCTAAAACAGCATTAACAACCCAAGGGCAAAATTCTTGTTTTCCTGAAACCTGTCATCTAAAAGGAAAATTGTCAACAATTGTAGTAACAAAGGGGTGAATTCCTAAACAAACAGATGGAGAGTTTATAACAGTTAGGCCTAACTATCTTCCTTGGAAAAATAAATATCACGGCTATTGGCACACAGTGGGCTGTCATTGTGTATTTGTTGAACTGTCAAACTCAGAGTAAATGACACCATAGGACATGACGCTTTTATTATATGGTACTATCAAATGGTCCAAAAATGACTTCGATAAAAATCCAGGGAGAAAAATAACAGGTGGCAGAAATAAATTAGATTTGAACAGTAAAACAAGTTTCAGGAAAATCACCTTTCTGAACTTTGAGAGATTTGGAAAGAAAATTCTGACTAACGAAAATTAGGAATTTATTTTCTGGTGAATACATGTAAAATTTCTTTCAAGTTTAAATTATTACAGCATGTCTAAATGTATAGGCAAAATCTGCTAATTGGCTTGGCATACATGTCCCTGAATGTTCTCTAATATCTAAAACCCTCAAACTTTCTAAATAACTACTGCCAGAGTTAAATGCTAAAGGACTCACTTTTAGTATACTCTAAAATATTTTCTCCTAAAGTATAAGATCAAAAAACTTAATTTACAGGTTTTTCTTGGAAATGTTTTTATTGCTGACCAAAAAAATTCACTGAAATGGTTCACAGTTGGATGTATTTTCCAATTGCAGCATATATTTCTTGTCAATCTTTATTCAAAGCATTGTTTTCTATCAAAATATCTTCACTATAATTGTAATGGATAGAATCTTTTCCTAGAAATGTTTTGGTTAAGGGCTTATAGGCACTGTCATTTACAGTATCTTTGTTTTATTTTTTGTAAAGGAATGCATTTGAAATTTGTGAGTGAAATTAACTAGAGTTGAATGTAAAATACTAGATAAACTCTATTTTGTTCAGAAACTCAAGGCAAAAACAATATTTAGTGCCCCTTCACCAGAAATCAAAACAAGTGTGAGCAAATTTGTAGTTGTAGTCTATATCTAGTCCTGCCTACAGTGTTAGGAAGGTAACAAATATGGCACAGAGAAAAAAATTACCATGAAGAAAAATGTTACATCTTATTGAGGAAATAAAAGAAAATAATTACTGAAAACGGGAGAGATGATCATACCAGTGACCCAACTGGTGGGGGTAAAGAGGAGCCAGTGATAGACCAATAGTCCAGTGTAGTAGCTGTATCATTCTGCATAAGTAGTGCATGCCTTACCCACAGCATGCACACAAACTTACTTGATACTATACAAACAAATACTGTGGAGTTAGAAATATTTTGGTAAAAAAACACCAAGTAGCTTTTAGAAAAGAGAAAAGCTTTTGGCACAGTTATAAATTTATCAAAGTGCAAAATCTTACAAGGTAAAATGATAAAAGCAAAATAGAAAGATGACTGAACTGAGGCACCTAGCGCTCACCACATCCTTCATGAAGAGGAAAGTCGAAGTAACAGGCATTTTGAAGTGAGTGAAGACTAGAAATTAACAAGAGAGTGACAGGAACCTTGTAAGGGTCCAAGACCCGGGACAACAGCATAGTAACAGAAACGCAATTCCCCATCAGCTGCCACCACAACTCCACCCCAGCCAGGAAAGGGTCTTCCCTCTGCCGAGGTAAGAGAGAGAGTTCCAGTGTAAATTCGGGCAGTCCTAGCTACTGAAAAGTTTCACAATCCTTATAGGCTCGGAGCCTAATTTAAAAAGTAACCTGAAATCTACACAGTAGAGGCTTTGGACAAAGATCCCATATCATCTCCTAGCAAACACTCGGGGTGCTGTAGCCAGGAGCCATCCTGAGAAGTGAGTTCTGTCTGAAATTGGACTGCTCCAGAAGTTAGAAGCACTGCATATGTCCACCTCTGGGACTGCACGGTGCTGCCCTGGGGCAGCTGCTGCAGGAACCCAAACTCACCAGCATAGTGACTGGGCGTGATTCCGCGTGCTGACCTCACTGAGTGGGAGGCGGGTTGAAAAGCTGGAACACAGGCGCTGCCATTGAAAACCAAGAGACCAGAGTGAGCAGGTGGATTTGTGCCAGTGCCAGCACTGGAGATAGAACCCTCGCAGCTCTCCCTGCCGCTCCCCTCACAGTGTGGCACTGACAGGGCAGGACACGCTGTCTTGGGAGGTCTTGAGCAACTTCAAGGCTCTGGCTTTTGGCACAGACCTTGGAAACGTGTTACTGTGATTGGAGTAGGGGTAGAAGAACTCCAGCTCCACCCACTACCCCGCACCTTGTCCGACCCCACACAACCTTCAAGACTGAGTCTGAGCACGGCAGAAGAGGTGCTGCATTTCCACCCCTCCCTCTCTAGGCTTATACCACCGACTGGAGAACAAGTATGTCAGACACTCACCACTGCCGGGGCTGCCAGGGTTGGAGGGCTTGCTACCTATCTATAGAGGAAGCCTCAACAGCAGCTGAGAAAGTCTCATTCATCTAATTAGGGCCACCATTTCCACAGACACATAACGAGGACCCCACACCCACTGCTGACTGCACCACACATGCCTCAGCTGCGAGTGTCTCCATCCTTGTGCGTACCACGGAGATAGGGGAGTTCTCCAGCCCACTACTGTATGCACAGTCAAACAAGCTATAGTCATCACAGCCAAAGAAGCTGTAGGAAGACAATGGTTCTCAGGTAGAATCAAGGCCAACATTACACAACAGACAAATAGCCCACGACACCTGTTTGGGAGGAAGCCACTTACTAAGTAGGCTACTCCTTAAAAGCAGCAGAGGTGCCTGGTCCACAGGATGCAAAAATCTCAATATAGGAGCACAGGAAATATGAAAATTTATGGTAATAAGGTTCCTCCAAAAGATACAATAACTTTAAAAGAAACTGATATTAATGACATGCCTCATAAGGAACTCAAAAGAATAATTATGAAATATTAATTAGATCCAAAAGAATAATAAATGGTAATCATAATGGTTAATAATAATACATGGTTAAATAAAATTAGGAAAACTATGTAGGATATGAGTGAGAAATTCAGCAGAGAGAGATGATGGGAAAAAAACAGACAGAAATGAAAAACTCAGTAAGTCAGATAAAAATACAGTCGAAAGTCTCAACACACTAGAGCAAGTGGAAGGAATAATATCTAAAGGCAAGTATTTTGAGATATCATATTCAAAGAAAGCATGAAGAAAATATTCAACAATGAAGAGAGTACTCAAGACCTCTGGGACCATGTTAAATGAACAAATGTCACATTTTTGGAAAACTAAAAGGTGAGGAGAAAAATGTTAACAGCAGAGAAAAAGTACTAAGTGAAATAATAGAAGAAAATTTCCCTAATATTGGAAAAGATATAAATGCCTCATATAGGAGGCTTATAGGATACACGCACACATGATCAGAAAAGATTCTCACCACATGTTATAGTCATGCTGTCAAAAGTACAAAACAAAGAAGTAATTGTAAAATGTGCAAGAGAAAATTGTGCGATGTATGTCCACTTTGTTCACCTTCCCTTTACTGATTTGTTTAGAGTCCATTGTAATAAAAACTTAAGCTTTAACAGAACAAGTACGTCAAATACTTTTTCAAAGTTAATATGAATTGTACCTCTGTGGGTTTTCTTTATCAATCATGTTGTATAAGTGTTTCAAATGTTGTATGTAATGGAGTTGACTGCTTGTCTTTTATGGCTCTTAAGATTTTTTATCATGATGAGGCTTCCCTAAGTCTAAATTTATTATTTTAAATATCTTTCTTTTCTGATTACTATAGTTTCATGTAAATCTTAAGCTTTAAATCATCTGTAATTGATCTTAGTTTTTTTTCCAAGTTACTTGTGTATTATCGTTATTACTGACTAAAATCCTGCTATTTTTCTCAGTGATTTCTGTAAGTATCTGGATCTGTCTTTAAACATGTTACAATGGAGGGGCTGGGGATTTAGCTCAGCGGCAAAAGCGCCTGCCCAGCAAGCGCAAAGTCGTGAGTTCGGTTCCCGGTACCGGAGAAAAACCAAAAAAAAAAAAAAAAAAAAAAAAAAAAAAAAACATGTTACAATGGAGATATTTTAGATACTGTTATTGTCTAATGTTTATTCTCTACATAAAAGTGGTTTCTTCTTTCATTTTTTACTATTCTAATGGCTATTTTCATAAATTTTTCTTTCTGGGTATATTTTGAGCACATGCTTCAAACAAAAAATTCTGTGGCTATTTTAATTAACATTTAAATTTTACAAAATTGAATTTACACAGATAAGAATATGATTTTTCGTTCTACTTATTTAAATCATTTTTTATTGTCTCAGAGCATTTTAGAAGTATTCTCCTTACATGCAATATGCATTTTTTTAAAGTGTAGACCTGGGCATGGTGGCACATGCCTGTAATCCCAGCACTCAGGAAGCTGAGGCAGGAGGATTGTTGCAAGTTTGAGACCAGCCTGGGCTACAAATGAGCTCAAGGTCAGCCTGAACTGCATAGTGAGACTCTGTCTCAAAAAGATAAAGAAAGAAAGAAAGAAAGAAAGAAAGAAAGAAAGAAAGAAAGAAAGAAAGAAAGGAAGAAAGAATATTCATCGTATTTTCATTTCTTGGATTACAAGTTTAAATCAGATCTGTATTGCACCATATCTCATAATTGATGATTTTTCAATATAAAAGAGATACTGGCTATCCATATAGATTTTTTATTTTACTGTTCTTCTTTATTATTTGTAATCACTTT